AGTTTTGCTCTATGCTTGTGAAACCTGACCTCTCCGAGTTGAGGATGTTAGACGACTCTCTGTGTTCGATCATCGCTGTCTCCGAAGGATTGCTGACATCCAGTGGCAACATCATGTTAGTAATGCAGAGGTTCGGTATCGTGTGTTCGGGCACAGAGATGATAATTCAATTGGTGTCACCATCTTGAAACATCGACTTCGGTGGCTTGGACATGTTCTACGAATGTCATCCCAGAGGATTCCACGTCGTGCATTATTGCCGACTCTGGGACTGGTTGGAAGAAGCGGAGAGGTGGTCAGTGCATGACATGGTGTCGTGGCATGAAAGAAAGCTGCAAAGGACTGGCTTGTGTTGGTCCTTCACGATTTCCTGGCTGGGGTCCGAGAGATGGTGCTACACAGTGGCTAGAGACGTTATCAGATATGGCTCAGAATAGAAGCCAGTGGCGTTCCTGCTGTAACCTTTTACTTCCTTCATAAAAAGTGGTTGCTTAATTCTTATTTGAAAGATTTCTTCTGATTGTAGCTTTTCGTTTCCCCCATTATTACCACTATTATTATTATTATTATTATTATTATTATTATTATTATTATTATTATCATCATCATTATTATTAGACTACCTACCATTAATCTGTTCGTTATTGTTCTTTTTTTACGCTCTTCACCTTTTTTCCTTCTCCTCTTCAAATTTCCATTGTTTTGTGTGGCGCATATATATTTGGTGCCCTCTTGTACCAATATTTATGTGTTCAAACAGTAAAATAAAATGGTACTTTGACGAAGCGGCTTACATGAAGTCATGAAGCGTCAGAAATGTAATTTTTCTACTCACTTGGACATTACAAATATATAATTTTTTATTTATAACTGTTATCTCCCGACAAGAATAATGAATGGTAACTTTTGGCATCCATTTATGGACCAATAATAAACGTATATTTCTACTGTATAATTATTAAGTGACTAAACTGCATATTACATTCCTCTTATTATAAGCTTTATTTTGACCCATAAATTATGATTATATATTTTACCATTCTTGAGTTATACCCGGTATATTAATTACTACCTCCCTCATTCACAGTTATATCTGGCTAATTCTTTCACAAATGTTGTTTCATATTTTATTGGTACGATATGGTCTGTCTGATTGGTATATAAACCGAGTATGTTTGAAGTAGATAATTCATATCGCAGAGGCTCGGATTTGTGTTCTGTACTTAACTAGCTGGGCTAGGCAAGAAGTAGGACCAATAAGGACTCTAAACTGCTCATACGGGTTTACGCGTCATTGACCCGATCGATAAGTCACTGCTTTCTCATTGGCGGCACAAGTTATAACAATAACAAACTACCCAATGCTCAATTTATTTGAAATTGTCAATTCAAACGTTGGTAATGATACTTATTAAAGACAAGATGCGAAAAAACAAACAAAGCATTTACTTAATGGATACAAACGTATTTTTGTAATTTCGGTAAGATTATTAACTATCATTCATAATGATATAAGTCATTGGTTTATTCGACTAGTTAGTTAATGAAAAGAGAATATGAAGTTGAAACTGAAATTCTGATTCGTAATAATCAAACAAGATTTTGTATAAATCGAATTAATATCGTGTAGTACTTAAGTTTAATTTAATCACTATCGAAATATGTTTGTTTTTTTAATTTACAATTACAATAAATCTAAATGTTCATTTGATATTTCTTAAAAATAGGAAAAAAGTTTTTTATTTCTTATGTTTACTCACAGCTAAAATCACATCATTATGATGGTAATAGCAAAAATGATTTTACATTTTATCATTTACTGGGAAAAAAAGACTTACATTATAGTAAGTTGAATTTGGTTGTTTAATTACAGCACCAAATGGTTTTCCTAATGGTGCTGTATCAAATAAAATTTTCGGCACAAAACTGAATTCTTCATTGAAAAAATATGGAGCAACTGTTCCGGGAGAAACTTTTTGTCGCTAGATGGTATTTTTAAAAAAGTAAATACAATTTTTTTTTAAAATACCTGTAAGAATTAGAACGGAATACATAATACTTGTGAAATATCACAATAATATCAACATAAATAAGGATAATTTGTGCAATTTGTTGAAATTATATGCTATATTTCACCGACTAATCTTAATTAAACAACTATTGAAGATTAGGAAGTACTTAACAAACTATTTTACCATAGTATGAGACTCATATACGAAGATGAAACAGGTTTACATGGATTGTTGGTTTAGTGATAGTTGTCCGTGGTCTACAACTATTACGCAGTACTATAAATCGAAAGAAAATAAGAGTGAATGTCATCCAATTCATTGAATCAGCCTATGAAAATAGTTGGTTAGATGTATTTATTTATTGACTTTTTAATAACTTGGTATTTTCATCCTTAATTATTCTTAATAATTTATCATTGCTGAAGATTTTATTTTCATTGTATGTGAACAAAAACTTTCATTGTACAAACAAAAGCAAGATGTTTTATCTTTGCCAGTGATTCCGTCAATTTTATATCATTTCTGATTGAATTTTAAAATTCAATCCTTTGATTAAATCATCTATCCATCTACTCCAAATTATCAATTATCAGTCACTTTAATGCATTTTATTAAGTAACAATTTCTAATGAAAAATTGACAGAACAGAGATTTTTACAATTTATTCTTATTTTGTAGTAAACGAAGACTTAGGTAGCGAAAACTAACTCACTATTTTAATGCAAAACTAAAAGGTGACTTCGTAAAACTATATATTAAATACAACCTTTGCATATCTTCCATCATTTGTCTCTTACAAACTTCGTCGTTCTTCCATTCTTGTTGTTATTAAAATTACTCTCTGTGTACATTCATATTCCCTTCAATTCAATCTTCTCAATCTTCTACTACCAGGCATTCAAATTCTGATTGATGTTATATGCTACTTATATCTGTTAACATAGGGAGCACACATCACAAAGTGAAGGCGTCGTATGAACAATAATTACCAATAAAATTTAAGTGACAACACATTTTCACTGGCCTATAAAGCAGATTATTGTTTTAATGGCATCTGTATTTCATCTCATTAGATAAAGAAAACAACTATTTAAGAAATTTTTTTGTACAATGAAATTCTGGTTAGCAGTAAATTCCAGGATGTTCGACTTATCATCTGCAAGACTTATCAGCTTGATATGTGTGAATCTTTGTGCTGATGTTCATACTGAAATATTTCAACAAATACTCATCACTTTAAACATCAACTTTACTTGCACGTTCAATAGGCATGAATTCATTTGTAAAATAATATATTTTTCCATAATTTTTATTAAAGGCTGTGTTTGTTCCGTTTTTGTCTGGGAACACTGTAATAAAAATTTTTTAACCGAAACTTAAATTATAAGTGAGAACGTAGTAAATTAATATTTCATAATTGTAATTTGTTCACAATTATAAATCATGTCTTACAGAAAAAGGAAGTGATTTAATTGAAAATACACAATTTAACCCATATTACTAATAATATCACACGATGACAAGTCATTTTCCAAGTTCATTTCAACTATAAAATCAAATGGTGATTATAGAATATTTTCAAATGAATTCACGAGTTTATCCAAGCTATACCCGCACGTGGGACTCGAACTCACCACGTTCGGTTTCGCGCGTGAACTCTTGACCTCCAGACCACTGAGCAAACATTCAACAGCATTATTGTCTGACTTCAATCGATCACTACATTGATTATGGAATATTTGATAAACCTTTTAGGTTTATTTTTGATTAGACTGTGGAGATAGGCACGACAAAATTATTTTGTAAATAGTTTTCGATATTATTCTCATTTATTTTGTTAATTCTCATAGTTTGTACATTTACACAAATGATTGTAAAAGTTGTTTAAGTGCATGACCTTGAACTCACACTCTTCCGTTTTGAACAGCTTATAGCATGACACACTCTGCTAACCGCTCATAAATACTCTGCTACACACACGTCTCTCGTTCTTAACTGCCTGTGATTATGATAATTAAACTATAAAAGTATCTATTATCTATATTTGCAGACTACAACCATATTTCCATTATATACTACATCTGTGCTATATCACTTAAATTGCAACAACCTCATTGGAATTATTAATTAACTATAATTGTGGATTATGGAACCAAAAGCAGCTTGAACACGCCAAAGCTTGCTGATTTAAGTAACGTTCCATAACTTTTACATATATAAATAATAGATACTTTTATAGTTTAATTATCATAATCACAGGCAGTTAAGAACGAGAGACGTGTGTGTAGCAGAGTATTTATGAGCGGTTAGCAGAGTGTGTCATGCTATAAGCTGTTCAAAACGGAAGAGTGTGAGTTCAAGGTCATGCACTTAAACAACTTTTACAATCATTTGTGTAAATGTACAAACTATGAGAATTAACAAAATAAATGAGAATAATATCGAAAACTATTTACAAAATAATTTTGTCGTGCCTATCTCCACAGTCTAATCAAAGTACGATAAAAACTTACTTAATCTCGGAAAGAATTATATACATTAAAGTAATCCTTATTTTTAAGGAGTTTTTATAATTTGCACTTCAATCTGGATTATTCGATTTCTGAATCAAAGTCCTATTTACCTCATAACTTATAAATTCTATCAACTTATGGTGTAATGAGTTCATTAGTTTGTGTGATCAATTTTTATTGGTTATCAGTTATGAATTATTTATTAATACAAGTTATAAGTTAAAATGTTTTTACGGTGTACAGCAATTAACTTCGAAACACTTTTTTTGTACTGTGTTTTATAAAGATGAACGGTTTATTTACAACAATAAATCGATAGCTTAGGTTGAGAGCGTCCAAATATTCGATAATAACTAAAGTCCACATTCATATAAATTTCTTTCCACTGAACTTCTACGTACAAAAATAAATTAGTCCAATAAATAATAATTTGCAAACAATGAAATAACTATGATTTCGAAGAAAAGATTTTAATGACTGCATACGGAATCTTTATTAATCAAGAAGGATGAAGGTGAATTGTATTTGTATTGTCAATAATCAAAAAGCTGTCCAGTTTGTCAAAATAGCATTTCATGTACAATAAATCAAATATTTTTTCAGGTAGGATAAGTCATAAAATAAATTTAGTTGGAGTAAAACTGACACAACGATTGAAGTTGAAATTGTACTACACGATAATGGATCAGTTGTTATGACCTCCATACTTTCGAAGCAATACCCGAGGGTCATACATTTGATTTCCAATGGAGTACGCGCGTACAGTTGCGGATGTTTACATAATTCATCAGTCCTTATTGGTTTCCAATGGTATTTCAAATAATTACTTACAAATCTCCACAAAACCTGCCTCAAATAAATCAAAAACTTACTAGTAAGGTTATTTAAAACTCAGAAATTTATAAATGGTACATTTCACTTGATTCTTGAGTGTTCCTGAAATGACTGAAAGATGTCAAAATTCGATTGCTTTACTTATTTTGAGTTTTGTTCAACATTACTTCCGTTATGATTTGATGTGATTATTATTCAATCTAGTTTTTGTTGTTTTCTCGTATGATATTTTATTCTATATAACATATGATATTCTTGTATTCCATTGACATGAACTATGCTCAGTATGTGGTTTGTTATAACTGAGTATTTTTCATATATGTGATTTCACCCTAATTACTAATCAAAGTGTGCGTACAATCAATATATAGATGAGTGTATTTTCGATTAGGGTCGTCGTGGTGGTCGTGTTTTGGGGTTAATAAATCTTCATTTATACCAGTCTTTGTGTTTTTACTTTTGCGTCGTGGGAATTATGGAGGTCCCTTGTTCCGAATATAATTGATAAGCGTTTCCGACATAACAATCAGCGACGACCAGATATAACAAGTAGCAATCAATTGACAATTTATAACAGTTCTAATTATGAAAGCTTCTGGAAACATATGAGTGAAGTTTGTTTCAAATAAAATAAGTACACATAACATAGTGAATTACGTAACAAATATTGAAAACCTTTTTCTAGACAAATAAATTAATGAAAGCTAACATCTTGGTTTGTGTGTGAAAGTATTAAATTTTTCAGTAGACTGAATAACATAGTTTTTCCCGCATATTTTAAACGCATTAAAAACGTCATGACTAATAATAATCACTGTAATGAATTAGTTAAAACATACTTTAACTAATGCTTCTGCTAAAAAACTGAATTGATTAACATAAGCAGGAAGTGTAAGTGGACCGTAAATAGTAGATGCACCTTCATATCGTTGAAGCTGTAATTCAAATCAAAGAAGTAGAGAAACAAAGTGATTGGATAAATTATTCATAGTTATGATTTTAGTGTTAGTAATTATCTCTGTTTAACTTTGAATTTCATGTTAGTTCGAACTTTTCAGCAAAATATATTTGAAATCTTAAACGAACTTTGCTTCTGTTTTGATTCAATCACATATCGAAGTCATTAGAGTTTCTTTAATTAATCATTCATTTAGACAAGAGAGCAGTTTAATCGATAGTTTAATAAACAACAAGCATCAAGACCAAAGTAATATTAACTTCTATTAATGGTTGATCAGTCCAAATGATGATGATGACAGTTTTACCAATCGAAAGGATACATTGTCAAAAAATAAATTAGCTATAACCATATGCTATCATATAGTCTTATAAGTTAAGCTGAATAAAGCAACAGTTATTAGCTCATTTGATTTACGAAGCCTTAGGACAGATAAAACTGAAGATAATAATTTTTTAAACGTTTGTATTTTCCTGCTGTTGATCTGAAGGATTGTATACAACTAGTCTCTGCTGAAATGTATAAATCCTGAGGATATAATCAAGATATTGTAGCTTATTCACTAGTTTTAGATAAAATAGGATTTGCATCTGAAAATAATATTCAAAACTCAGCCTTCATCTTATTTGGGAATTGTCGGTCAGATGTTAATATTCACACTGAGAAGCAAACCCAGCACATGCCGCTGATCAACTACACTGATAAATAGAAAATTTAAATTATCACAAAAAACGTCTACACCTATTTCAATAACTGATGGCTATCAGTCACTGTAAATCGATGCATAACGCACTGAAATTTGATAAGAAATGAACTGCTTTTGGATTCCAATATAAACATCAACACTGATAAGCAGGAATAACAGGTTGACGAATCTTAAGTGGTATTAAATCCACATCTTAGGATGCACTGCTTGGCGGTATTCGAGTTTAATAATTAATAATTATGTTCAAAAATTAAAAACAATACAATAAACCCTATTTAAAAGAACTAAATTTTCATTATTGTTTAATATAAGAGAAATTCACTAACATTATTGATTCTCTCTTAATCTCTCTCACAATTATCACATGGAAATTTTTTTAAATAAAGAAATATTTTTTCAAAAAGTTTGAAGTACACAGAATTAAATTAACAAAATGAAATTAAATTTTCCCCGCAAAAACAAATGAATAATGATCAATAATTTTGTTTAAATTATATATAATATTCTGAGAAGAGTTTACTCATGATTTCAAACTTCGATAAAGGTTACATTGAATGAGAAAACTTATCCGTTTATTATATATTCATATTTCTTCAAATTAGTTAGACAGATATGTAATTATAATTTCAAACAATGTATACAAAATAGAAAACGAATGAACAATTTTCCTTTTCAATGGTTGAGATCATGAGTCAATTGAAGCTAGACCACGATGGAAAACCTGGAAGCACTAGACGGTCGTTTCGTACTATTGTGAGACTCCTTAGTGATGCGCACCCACTGGCTTCAAGAGGCATTTCCTGAAGTTCTAGTGAGAAGTAGTGACCAGTGCAGTTCAACCGGGTCTGTTGTGAGATAGTAACTCACTGAAGAAAATAGTGGGTGTATCGCTCGACTCCGTGAATTGGTTAAAGTTAGACATTAACACCATTGGATGCCGGCTCAGTGGTCTAGTTGATTAAGCGCCTGGCGCGAGACTGATAAGTCCTGGGTTTAAATTCCGCGATGTGGGATTGTGGATGAGCACTCTTAAGGAGTCCCAGAATAGGACGAAACGGCCGTCCAGTGCTTACAGGTTTCCTATGGTGGTCCAGCTTTAATTGAATCATGATCTCAACTGATATTAATTTTCGTTTTATCAAATTATCGTAAAATGGTGTTTATTTTCATTTAAAATTTGTTTATCTATACAATATTTATACGTGAACATTTTTAACTTATTTTGAAGAATTCTATATTGTAATAAAAAGTAATATAGTTTGATATTTTGTTAAATAATTTATACATGAGTATGAATACAAGTGTATTAAAATAAATTGAAATATTAACTTTATGATTATTTAGGAAATTGACACCGTTTTTGTTATCTCAATTTATAATTTACAGATTGTGATCAATTCATGCTATTTCATTGTAAACTGTTATGAATTAATTAAATTACTAATTTGTACATTTATGATTTTTTTTAATGATAATTATCTCTTTTAGATACCTAAAAAGTGCTTTTCTACGTCCTCTTTCCAAAAAAAATAAGAACAACTACTGCATATAAACCTACTAACAAGTGAACATTACTCATTAGATAAACACTAAAAATGATCTGTCAATAGTTAAATTCATGAGTTGATGTAAGGTAGACCACCATTGAAGCCGTGACCAATGGAGTCCAATCCGTGTCGGGTGAAGACAGTTATCTACCACAGACAATAGATGAAGGATTACGCAAGATCACGGATCAATTGAAGTTAGACATTAACAGCGTTGGACACATGCTCAGTCATCTACAGGTTAAGTGTTCACGCGCAAGATCGACGGTTCTCGTTTCAAATCCCGCGTACAGGATTCTAGACGCTCACTGCTGATGATTCCCGTGCTAGGACGAAACAGCCGTCTAGTGCTTCCAGATTTTCACTGGTGGTCTGGCCTACATCGAATCATGAATTCAACTAATAAAAGTACTACAATTTCCACAATCCCTCGTTCTAATAATGTTAAAAAAAAATAGTGACAATTTATTGTTTAATATAATCTTTTAAAACAGTCTTAGATTAAAATAAATTATATAAAAGTAGAAAGACAAAATATTGGACAATTGATTCATAGCAAATTAGTGAATTATTATTACTTGATATTCTTCAGGAGTTGCAATATAACTTGAGTAAACATTTGACAGACCAGAAAGAATTACTTCATATTGTGTAGTTGAACTTGGATCATTCTGTTTAGAAGCATTATTAGCAGCCTAAATGGGAATCCAGTCAAAAAAAGAAAGAAGCGATTTAAAGGTACTAGTATAATATCCATATAAATCTGAAAGTTCAAAAAACGATGAGCATATTGTTAGCACGATAAGCCTTGACTAAGTTTTCTATCAACAATGTGAAAAATAACGATTTAGTCATTTATTTAATAGCATATAACGGTCAATTATAAACAACCTAAAGCCTAACACAAACATGCATTACCCCATATTTACTTGAGATGAAACTAAAAAGATAAGTAGAAAAGGAGGGGAAATAATTTAGTAACTGAAAGATAGAATAACAAGGTTCGCAGAAAAAGAATACTTAAACTCAAGATTTAAATTAATGAATGACGTGAATGCTTGTTTTTAAGTCACTGTGACCGATTTTGCGTCATATAACTCAACATTACTGTGTTCAGAGTTATAGCATTTAAGAGTTAAAGTTTAGTATATGAGCTACAAAACTAGTGTACTATAAGAAAGTATTTGCTAATATTACAACAATCACTATTTGATGTAATTCTCAGCATCTACATTTTAATAACGAGTTTTACAACTTATAATGTATGATAATGCAACGAAGACATGGAAAAGAAATCCATAAACATCTTAATTTAAAATATGCGGTATTATTTACAGCAACATATATACAGCAGAACAATGTGATAATTCCTGATGATGCTACAATTATATCTATCACTTCCAGTACAATAATCTCATCATTCAAATAAGGTCTAAATGGAAAAGATTTCGTAAATAACAGTAGAAAATTAGCATTCAGGAAATTGGTACAAATCTATCATAAGTGAATAAATAATAATTTTAAATGTTAGTCAATAGTTTTAGTTTACGTAGTATGTGACTAGAAGTAGAACCAAGACCACGAATTTTTTATTTGAGACTAGTTAGTCAATATATAAATGAGTAATTGTCACCAACACTGTATCCACTTGATACTTATTCATACAAAGGAACAGTCTACATTTAGAATAACAAAATTTCATACCATCAATCTCTAAAACTTAGGTAATCTTAAGTTGACCTATTACATCTGTATTAAACTATTTCGAATGTTTCTCGAGAATTATTGACAGCAACTTATAGTTATTGTGTCAGATTATTTCAAAATACAACGTCTGTTAATGTAGTATAAAAGATGTTAAATGTATTAAATCACCACCAATACGAAGAAAAGCAACCAACTACACCAATAAAAATCTAAACTTCTCAATCTGTACGAAAACAGTTGAGTGAAAGTATTGCGAGAAACTTCATACCATTTAAACTACGCTATTTTGTTTATGAAATAGGCAGATCTTTGTCAAATAGAGATGATGATTTTATTACATTAAGATATCAATGTATTACATATGGCAACAATCAGACCTTATGTTTTAGAAACAATTTAAACGTTGATCAACTGTTTTATGCATAAAAACTTTATAACATGAACATGAGAAAAGTATACCTATTTGTATATATTTAGTTTTTTGTACATCCTATCCTTATTATTCAATGTTGTAAAATATAAAACGTATTAGGAAGGAGTACAAATGTAACTCCGAATTTTGTTTGTATTATTAGTTAACTCAGCTAAAATTATAAGTAATTGTAAACTGTTTACAAGGATTTAGTCAGTGATTATTTATAACAACTACTACTGTTTAGTTCATTGTTTTAAAATTTAACTATTGGTCTATAATTCAAGTATTTAGATTTAGCTGTCCATCACTGGTTGGATTAGTTATAGATTTATTAAGAATCCATACTAAAATATTTATCTATAGTCTTGTCCTTTTTCCTTACGTCAAATAATTGCTGTCTTTTTTCAGATATACAACAATAAACAGACTGTTTTTCCGCAGTTAAAACAAGTGGGCATTGCAGTGTTTCAAGGCAACATCCACTACACAGTAGTCAGCAATCATGAGATTCGTATTTTAAACTGCAAATACATCACCTAGAAATATAACGGCGAGACTATAATTTATAGACGAACCAATCAGATTTACGATAACAGGTCTTGAATTTTGGCGCGAAATTCACATATCCATTTGGTTAAACAGAGTTTTGGCATTATAACTGACGTCAGTTCGTGATGAAAACCCTATATCTGATTCCTAACCCTAACCATCAACTGTAAATATTAATCCTAATTCCTCATGCTGATTTATAACCTTCATTTAGCAGAAGTATGTAGGTGGACACTCTCAAGGTCTTAGAGTCGCTCAGTCGTCCATAAATTATAGTCTCACCGTTTGTTCTACTTCATTGCCCGATCATGACTTTACTTTTGTAGAAAACGTGTTTTTTGATAACGACATAACATTAGCCGTAAAGTATTTGGACTGTTTCAAAATATTTATTCATTTATTTCGTTACAAAATATAGGTGAAGTAAATACTACCAACTAAACGAATAAGCATAATCTCCATCGTCCAGTTACAAACGTAAATCCACAACCTACATTTATTTGATAAATTTCAAGTCTATACACTCAGCCATATAAATAAGACTTTTTGAAAATCACTGTGTTAAATTGAAAAAAAATTTCCCTAGTTTATTGAAATTAGTCACATTTTCAAGTTTATAGAAACAATTTCAATATAATTAATCTTAAATCCGAAAAACCAAATTAATAAAAGCTCTATATTGTTAAACATTCACCAAATTTTTTTAATCATGATTTTATTAACTTATCATTAATTTTTGAAATTCCTATGGGATTGCATCTTCTAATGTTGTTTCACTGTCCTGTGGATTAAACCTTTAGGTCAAAGGCTCAGGGTATGGCTCCCCAAAAAAATCCACCTACTTCGGTTTGGACGCCTGGGCAATATCCGATACAAATCATATGATTTATGTGGGGCATATATATTTGGTGCCTCCTGGTACCAATGTTTATGTGTTTAAATAAATAAATAATAAAATGCATTAATTAGTTGTGCTGATTGTAGGACGACAAGTTATATGGCGATTGATCGATTTGTAAAATTTTCGTTACAAATCATCATGTGAAGAACCAACAAAAATGAAGAATCACTTCATTACTATTTCATCTTAGTAGGATACTTCATAATAGAATTCACTAAAGATCACATCAGGAATCATGTAGTTAACATTGAATGGTTCATATTACTAATCTCAGTCAGCTCTTCATGATGAGCTATTATCGTTCATTGACACTTTTAGTAACTGTCTTTATATTCCCAGCATGAATGAACTCCGCTGATCACGAGATTTCTCTGGGAATTTAATAATTACTAGATTCAGTATTAAACAATTCTTAAGTTATTCATTGATAAACGTTTATGTAGCGCATTTATCATTCTCTCGAGCAAGTACTTCCCTTTGAAATATCTGCTTACAATAACCACTAACAACTCTTAATGTATACTTAAATGACAAAAATATTTCCATCATGCAAACATAATATTTACTTTTTAGTATTTATTCATATTAAATTACTTGTCTGTATTTGTTTTCGTAAAGTTATTTTTTATGATACCATATTGACGATTGTTTTACTGTTTTTAGTATTATTTACTTACTAGCTGTTAATTGATTTAATAAAAATTAATTCAATACATTTATTGACATAGGTTTACATAAGAAAATAAAGTAAATATATCACTAAATGAGTACTTGTTTTATAAATCTATAAAAAGTAAGTGAATATAATTCGAACTTATTAAGATGATCAAAGTCTATTCATTCTTAAATACTGTTGATACTCGACAATGTACGCGTACAACTATACATGCAACTAGAAAGATGCAATCAAGAAACAATATCAATCTAGGGGTTGATAAATATTATGACACCGTTATTACAGATTATCATGAATTTATCTTTCCAACTAAATCAACCAAAACAGTTAGAACGTTATGATAAGAAAAACACATATCCACTGTAGTTTAATTTAAGGTAACGACATTTTTACAATCACTGAAGTGAAATGGTTATGTAATACCGAAGGTTGATTGAAGTAAGACTTCAACACCAATGGAGGCTAATTACGTGGTCTAGAGGTTATGCGTCTGCATGCAAGATCGAACATTATGGGTTTACCACCTGGACACAGGGTTATCAACGCGCACCGCTGAGGAATCCGATACTAGGACGAAACAGCCATCTGATACTTTCAGATTTTCAATGATTGCCTAACTTAGGTCAGTTCGTATTTCTAAAATATATGTATGGAATCAGTTTTACACACAGTGATAGATTCAAAACAAATAAACCGAAAAACAAAATGAATAAATTTTAATTGAATAACGTGAATAATATGTAAACTCTATTCGAAATTAGGAACATTAGTTTTATCCTATCATAGATTTTTGGGGTTGAACTCTAACCAGTGACTTGTGCACATCCTCAAATGATTCGATATAGCCTTTTTCATAGTATTGTAGTTATGAGCAAAATCGTGGATTAAATCTTAACAATACGAAAATAAAATCATCTACAAATCATAAATATTATCTCAGTTGAACATATTATTGGCTATCAGAAATCAACAGCATAAAAATAAGGTTTTACTATTTGAAGTAATAAATGATGATTTCAAAGGTAATTATGAATATCAACATTAGAATATAAGGTTGTCATTAGTGGTCTTTAACAGTTCCATTAACCAATCGTTATTGTTCTATAATGCAATTTCTTCATAGAAACACCAATAAATAAATTTAAAAATGTGGCAATAACTTTGTATTTTTTAAGTGTCATAACTAAGTAATGTTTTATCTCTCTTACTTAGAACATTCTGAGTAGAAGATTTTGAGAAACTCAAGGTATAATCTAATAGTAAGGTTACTTTTAATATAAAGAAGAGTATGCAAAAATATGTTGGTACCAGAGAATATACGAGAAGATACAAAACTCGAAAGCGACAAGTTAGTAATTAAAGCACTTGGTTTCTTAACAGTTGGTTATAACCTCGAGCACATTACCGTCTATTTTAGCTGAAATAACCCAGTAACATCAATACCTCTTATCTTAAAAGCATAGATCAAAATAACGCATACTGGTTGTACTTGATATGGAAGTTATATAAATTATTATTTAATTAGATTCAAGCAACTCAAATTTCGTGTTATTCATTGACAAACCGTTTACGAAGATTTGAGAGTAATTTCATAAAAAATGAAATTTTTAAGAAAAGATCTATAATTGAAATTGAATACACTTGATACCAATGTACTCCGCATATATAATATGTAACATTATTATTAGTAGTAATAATAATGATAATAATAAATGACATTGTAAAATGATGAGATAATCTTTGTAAGTAGAATGTATTTGCATATTCACAGAGAATGAATTTGAAGCAAATCCAACGTTTCACTTTTCAGTCAGCTACAACGTACGACCAAGCACATATATGCATCTGTACAAGTTGCCATACCGCATTAGCACAACGAGATGAACACCGGATTCATAGAAGTAGTTAATTCAATAGCGCTTATATAAAAGAAAGATTTCATAAAAGGATATAGTCCGGGAAGATAGAATTAATTTGTAGAAAGAAAGATATTAAGCGATTTTAATCTCATAGTTTAAAAGAAGACAAAATGTGTATACGCCATAGTGGTCGATTCAGAGCCATGTCACCTAAAGTCTCCAACCATACGATATTCACGCTGGCTCCAACTACCTAAATGGCTAAGACTAGAAGTTATTGACTTCAAGAACTGATGCCGCGTTTTGGTTTGGCCGCCCCTAACTTTCTTCGAACAATCACCAAAACCAGTCAGCATTGCGCGTCGTGGTAATCGGTGTTCAGGCATACCTCAGAATTGCATAAACCCTGTGAAGGCCTTTTAGTCGAACACTACTAGTCGAGTCAGAGCTTATGTCGAACTGTCATCTGCTTATGCAACCTAAAGTGGTGTCCGTCAAGGCTGTCCACTTTCTCCATTTTTGTTTAACTTCATCATAGACCTATTGATGGAAATAACACTCTCGTCGACTGAATTCTCGGGTATTGATCTCCTTCCAGGAGGTCCACTTATTGACTTAGAATACGCAGATGATATAGTCCTGTTTGGTGAAGACGCTGACAAAATGCAGAGTCTTCTGGTAGCACTAAGCAACAATGCCAGGATGTTTGGGATGCGCTTCTCTCCCTCTAAATGCAAGTTGTTGCTTCAGGACTGGTCTGGGTCAATACCTGAACTAAGGATAGGGAGTGAAGTAGTCGAACGCGTAAGCAGATGTGTGCCCGTATTAGAGCATGGTCGGAGTCCAAGCAGATGTTCCAGAACGAGCTACAAGCTTCTATCGACCCTCTCTAAAAATGACTGATGGCAATACGGTCTATTTGAGCACATCGTTGGTTTGATGCAGGCGGTCGCCATGTTAGACGATGTCTTTCCTTATGCTTGAGATTAGTGTTTGCTAAAAACAAACGATTGTCTGAGCAGTTGCGGCAGACGATCATCATTATCTGTTCGCTGAGCCGAAATACTAAAATACCCACCTAAATCTCTTTCCGTCTGGTTTAAGCTACCTACCAGGGAAGAAACGACGAATAGACGACGTTTGTCCCTATCCTTCCGAACAGCACATAGACGGCTGTTAACAGGGATCCACTCTAATACTGTTTGTTCTGCCCTCGTACATAGCACTATGACTACACCTGCCAGTTCACGAGGACGAGCCATCGCGTGACCAGATACACGGAGAGTGTATCTCGTCGGCTCTCCGTTTTGGCGAGGTGAAGTCAAGTGGATAACCACACTAAGATCCTGTATGCGTGTTTCGGAGACACAGCATACATAAATAGTACCACTTTCTAGAGTCTCAGCCAAGTAGGTCTGCTGACCGATTTGACATAGGGCGCATACGTTGAAGGCTCCAATGCGTAGTTTGGAACGAGGTTTCAGTAGACTTGGGACGGTGTTTTGCGCAATAGAATCGTTGGCCATGGTGACACTTAGGGAGGAAGCCAAGAGCGGAAGCTTATTGTTTAAGGTCGATGTAGGAGGAAAAATAGGAATGGAGAAGGGAGGTTGATTATGAATACAGTGGTCTTGAGTGCTGTTAGAGATATGAGGGCGGTTATTACTTCCCGGTCGCTCACATCGTGGAAGGATTTTTCTGGAGGTACCTGAAAAGTAAATTGGGTCAGAGGTGGTCTCAGTGACCTAAGAGCATGACCGCAGTATCCAAGGGACAACTGCTTGAGACCGATCACAGACGACCTTTAAGTGAGTACTTTTCGTGTTAGTTCTGTACTTGTTAGGACCTTAAACCGGAGATGGGAATCCGTTGGATAAAGTAAGGTGTGGTGTTTTAGGACCAACATTTTACAAATACACTCTTCCTCCTTAATTTCTTACACCAACTAGGCGCCAAATATTGTAAAACCATTCGTACAAAGTTAATCGAAAGTTCTCACAAATATTTGTAGGTAATTGGTTTTTTGTCTATAGGAAATTCAAATGTTCGTTGTAGTTGCAAGAGTGCTAGCTTATGATAAACATGATGTTATCGTAGAAATGATGGATAGTTTTCTCATACTTTATATTATCAAACTATAAAAAATTAGTTAAATTATTTATTCACCTATAAATATATGTGTCACGAGTTAACCTGTCAGATATTAATTACGAACAATTATAATAATTTTTCTGTCACATAATACAGATACACATTCGTCCTCATATATATTTTTAATTAAATTAATAATAGTTACCATTACCTATCACAGCATCGATTGTAACAGTAAAGTGTAACATAAATTCAAATTGATATGAGACTTGTGTCAAAATTGTAAAATTAGAGCAAATCAACTAAATAAATGAAAATATAAATAAATGTGGATGTTGTATTATATTTAATATCAATTAATTGGAGACAATCAAGAGAAAGTCATGGATGTAGGTTAAACTTTGTTAAGTATCATATATTACACCACGAGAACTAGAATCCTAAATATAACATCAGTTCACTCAATACTATGATTAAACTTTGCTGCGTAATGTTAACTAGTACGGAATCTATGTCAAACAAGAACTTCTATCGACTACATTCAATTAACCAACTAATTAGAATCTAAAAAGTATAACTCAAAAAAAAACAACTAGTTGAATAGTAAATAGGATCCATAAGGTTTTAATTTTGTAGTTTGCAAATCCACTCAGTTAGATAGTCAAAAAATATCTAACGTATTTTGTTATTTATTTTTTGAAGATTTTTATTGTATCAATTTTTAAAAAAGGTAATTTTCTATATATATCTTTAAATTTCTTAACTTATATAAGGTTAGGTAACCATTGTGTCTTTAGTTACAGAATGTGTTTATCAGCATAATGAGCGATTGTGATAGTATCAAAATACTCTATAAGCGATTTTAATTCATAAATGAACAAAACTAGTTTCAGGTTAAAATTGACTTATCTTAAATCTATCGATTATTTTTCTTTTAATCTGTACAAATATATCATAGTGTTTAGGTATATTTAGTTGATACTTTGTTTGCTTTATTAAATTATATTATGTATAGAAATCACAATAAAGCAAAGTGTCAGTTGATGTTTCACTAAGAGAAAAAAAAGAACGAGCACTAAATAAATATTTCATCATAGAATGGAAGCTTTCAGCTGTGTAAATCCACGATGGCACCAAAAATTAAAATTAAGATCCATTTAAGCCTTATAGATCAGAAAGTCAAGACTTCATATTTCCAATTTTAATTAATTCTTCATGCAACATAAAAATCTCTTTTAGCAGGGTTGTTAATAGAATACAGTTTTAAAGAACTCAAACAAAACAAAAAAAAACTATTCAATGATACCTAGTTTTTTAACTGTATTTATCAACTGATTAAATTCTGTGATGAATATCAACGAAAAAATTTTTTTTAGTAAAAATACACAATATGTACCATTGTTCGTTTACAGTTATTTCTATGTTAACTAAATAAAATCATAACAATAAATAAACTATTCGATTGATAATTATTTAGTTATGAACTTTGTGTCATTCGAAATGAAAAAATAAATAAATAAATCTAAGCATAAATTTTAAAAATCTGTATCATATTTATTTTCAGATAGTACAATATCACTACATTCTAACATTGAGATAATTTTATATTAATTACTACACAGTAGCCATGGTAATTGACCAGTTGTAAATGCTTATATAGTTCTTTGTTATATGTAAGTTGACCAGTGGGCAACATATTATGGTGATCATATCTCTAGCCTAATGACTCGGTAATAATTGCTGGGATTAATCATTAACGATATTGTAATTCAAGATGAATAGATAAAAAAACTCTGTTCAATATGATTAAAGAATTATGAATGTCAACAATCGATTTTTTCTTGTCTCTAGGTAAGGTCAAATCGTGATAAATCCTAGAATTCAAACTACTATGCTCTCATGGAAAACACTTATCAATTACTCGCTTGTTGATTAACATCTAAATGAATTCGAAAATTTTAGGTAAAGAATTATACACAATCTAAATATGTAATGTAACATTGGTGTAAAGTATTCCATTTCAATTATGCTATTTAATTTGGTTATTTGAACATAAAGAAGCTTCCTCCACTAAAGGTTAAGTGCACTTCATAAGTAATCATTCAATCAGGCGATAAGTTGACGTCATAAACAGTGCGTCTTTATGATCAATATATAAATAGAATTACTTCAATCACTGCTTCACGAATACGTCTTCCAGACATTGTGGTAAATTCACCAGGTAAGGCAACAATTAAAAGAGACCCAATCGATACAATTTGAGTTTCAACAATAGACGGTTGCCAAGGATAAGGAGTATTCATCTACAAAGCATAATAAAAAAGTTCAATTGTAAATTTCACAAGGTCTAGGAACATAGTTTACAGGGTAAACAGATTTTAATATGTAGTATATTAATATGTTGATGTTTAGAGAGACAAAAAAGTAATTTCAAGATAGCATTTCGAAATTCTAATACTATTATTATCACTATTATTACTACTATTTTTATTAAAGCTTATACGTCAGAAACGTCAACAACCTTAGAGTGACTTTCATAAATTCAAACAATTAAAATCTTTTCCAACAGTACTGAAATGCGTTCAAACCAACAGTTTATTCATCCTGGCAGAGTAAAAAACTTATTGCTATAATTCATATAATATAATTCCTTTACAAATACTGATGACTTAATATAAAAAATGAGTTAAGAAATCTTGTAGCATTTTGTGTAGACTACGCTATAAAGCGTCTTACTTTCACTAATTAACCAAACATTTAGCCTTGTTCTTATCTTCTAATAATAGGAAGAGACGCTGGAAGTGGATAGGATATACAATACGGAAATCACCAAACTGCATCACGAGGTGAGCCCTAACTCGGAATCCTGAAGGGAAACTGAGAAGAAGAAGAAAAAGAAGACGAAGAAGAGGAGGAAGAAGAAGGCTAAATAACACACTTTGCTAGGAATCGAAATCAGATATCTGAAGAGTGAATGGAAACTAGAAACAACTGAAAAGGACAGTGTTGTATGGAGAATGCCGATGGGTGGCTTTTGCACCTTCACGATGAGTAACAGGCGTAAGTAAGTAAGTAAGTAATATAAGATTTCACAAACAATTCACTTACTTCACCGGTAGCAAGAAGAACTGGTTTTGGAGCTTGACACTTAATCAATTTTTCACTTGGTGTTTTAATAAAATTTCGAACAATCCGCCAAAATAAACTACCATGTGTAATACCTTTTGAAACAGTTAGTAAAAGATTTTTAAATTATAAGTATATTAGAGATACCTTGAATAAAATCAAAATCTCCTGGACCATCAGTTGTACCAGCAGCAAAACTAAAACCCATGGCTGGTTCACATGTATGACCTGAATAATTCTTTAAATTGATTAAATATGTTAAAATTACTATAAGATCGACAGCTTACTTTATAATTTAAACTTATATTTGTCATGTCAATAAATTGATGAATAAAGTTAATAGGTCCATTTATCTCAGTAGTAGCATTATTAAACAATAACTGAACGAAGGAAAGAATACGGTAAAACATAGAAAGTACTTATTTTAACAAACCCATGCTTTTTCAAATTGCTTGTATGCAATTAGTTTTGTACTTTCAAACATATCTGAACCAGGACCGTATGCAATACAATTTTGTGCCTAAATTAAATTAATTATAATTCTTGTTTATTATTGATTGGCTTACACGACCACCACAACTACTATGCACAAAATCACATGGTAAACCAGTGTCAATACAACGTGGACCAGCAGTATTTGGTGAAACATCACCTTCATTAGCTTGAGCGAATGCAGCAACAAATGGACCCTTTTGAAATATATAAATCAATAAGAAAAGCAATAAAAGGAAATAAACTAGAGAAGTTATTTTTATGAAAAGCAATTTATAACTTACAGTTATAAAATAGAACAGTCAGATTGTTGTACTTTTATTTTTAGCTTGGTTGTGATTGTCAACAATACTGTGAACTAACACCTTATAAAATCAACCTTCCTAACAGTACTGGAAATAAATTTGTCTGTTATCATGTTGTTTATATCAAATATGTATAATGGTAGATGTATTCAATGATGATGGCTACTTGCATTAAACAATGATATTATTATTCAAATATTTTATATTTAATACATTAACTTAATAAATCTTAGGAAAATGTACATAACATTTTGTGATTTGATAAAGATAAATCAACCGATAACATTGGTAAGTGTTTAGTTACACCATATGTTTTTCCTTTGAATAAATATAGTCAATGAAAGTTAATCTTCAAAATAATTATATAAAGACGTAACAGTATAATATATGAAAAACTACAATTTTATAGAAAATCAGGTAAATATTATACATCAGTATAGGGCTGTGAAGATTGTTGAGTTTTAATTGATATCATAAATTAGATTGGTTGAAGTTAGACATTAACAACGTCGAATATCGGTTAAGTGTTCGCGCTCGAGATCAAAGGTCCTGGGCTCGAGCCCCGCATGTGGGATCGTTGATACGCACTACTGAAGAGTTCAATACTAGGATGAAATGGGTATCCAGTGCTTTCAGGTTTTCAATGGTAATCTAACATTGATCGGTTCATGATCTCAAATTTAAAATAGGTTATATAGGTAATTATAGGGTAATGAAATTTTAAAAAATTGAATTATTTACTATCCTTTTTTGTGCTGAAAAAGGTTTTTGGAATTATTTGATAACTGGAAGTAATTATGAGGAATTATTACTTGATAAGCGTTCTATGTTTGTTGACAATAAATAGTAGGATACATCGGTAGATCTAATGGAAACTACTCTCTATTAGAGAATCTGAACCTACCTAATCAGATAAGTTGATTTAACATCATCGTATTTAATATTTAATGGATTGTCTGTATTTAATGAAATTATTTACACTCAGCAGTTACTTATCGATATCAATATGATCAATCTAAAGAAGAGTTATTAGCAGAATTTGTTCTCTTCATTATGGTTCATATTATATCTGAGGATTCTTGAGAATAGGCCGACGATAGCGTTACATGCGTCATAAACAGGGCACAAGATCAACCCTGAAGGTACCAAAATACTTCAGAAAGGTTTTGTCACACATAAAGAAAACTAGACAGCAGAAGCGCTGTATATATGGACTAATACAAACAGCCTGAACAGAAAGGATGGTATTCAACTTGCAACTAATTAGCAGTTGTCCATTGAAAAGCAATTGGACCCTTTCTCTATCCAACCTGATTATTTCACATGTATCGTTATTCTGAAAAAAAATTAATCTAGGATATTTTAGCAATACAATTATGTATTCGATGATTCCTATTTTACATGCGCATCGACGATTCAAAAACGATTTCAACATTCAACTTGCGCTTTTGTTTTTATTTTCACTTCATATAAGAGTAAATCATACCTAGTATCAACTATTAATAACTCAATCTTACACATACACACAAATTTCATTCATTCATTTATTTTTACATTGTGAACGTTTCACATGACTGACCTAAGTTATCCGCCAAACTGAAATCAACATCTAAATATGAGTGGATAAGCATAGTAAAAATTTCATTTGATCACTGAATACTATATATTTCATTGCTAATTTTGATTTTAATTATTACCCTAAAGAAGTTTAGACAAGTTTGCTGGACGAAACGATGTAATTATTTAAATTCCAATCATTGAGATTATTTCAAATATAATTTCCACATATGTCTTCATCGAATTTTTTTGTAAATGAATTCAGATATTTTGAGTAATTGTAAAATAAATGAAAAACAAAAATTCACTTGACAACTTAATCAGCTGAATAAGAGAGAGATAAATTATCTAATTTTTTTCAAAATTTAAACCAAAAACATTATATTCTCTTTAACATTAAAAAAACAAATAAATAAAGACTTGATATGACTAGGGTTTCCTGGGTTCGGTCTATAGTACTATCATGATTCAATACAGTCGAAATTTTATACAAGAATCAAGTGGTTATCCAATGATTCTCAGTTTTTAGTAGTTATCTATCTAGGAATAGTTTATAATGTGAACAATGAAATTATAAATATCAGATTATCAGAAAACTTAAGGAAACACAGCTACCTTGTGTGAAAACAGTTTACTTTATTGTAAAAGTTTAAAGTTACTCAAATTATTTTATTGAAAAATATTGCAGAAAAAATTATATTACTAGTTAAGAAAAATATTTACTAACCTGTTAAAATAAAAATTAATATGAATAATAGTTTATTTAATATTATTTAATGGAAAATATTTAGACAGAAAAACAATCACCATGGAAATGACTAACTTTTCCTAACATTTGGTTATGATTCATTTTTTGTTCAAATAAAATTGATGCTAATCCTTTATTATCACTGCTAACTAAAGTATTCGTAGAATTCATACTGACTGGATGTACAGCAAACCAATTGATCATTCCGATTGGTGTATTATTCATTGTAACAAATTTTAATAAAATCATATTTTTATCTATATTTTCATCATACCTACAAGAAAATGTTTTTTTTTACAAAAAATGATCAAAAAATAGTCTAAAAATACATTCTTGTAATAATGCGTCAAAGTGAAATGTAAAACATGTGTTTCCTTTTATTTTCAGACTTCTTATACAGAAACAATGATATCCAAGAGTTAATACACATGATGGACAGAGTATCAAGGTACCCGGTTCAAAGTTTATAAACCAAGACAGAGACTGATTATCTCAGCTCTTAATAATAACAAACGTTTAGAAATTAAAATAATCTATAACCGAAAGAATAAATAACTGAATGATTCAACGCAGTTTTATTTATAACTGCTACCTAGACATGGTGGGTGAGTTTCTCTATTATGATGACCCAGTTGAGCTGTATTGACTGGTATGTTTGTTTTTTTAGACTCTATCACAACAGCCAGGTCGGTTGGGGGAATGATACCACCGAAAATAACAAAATTGTGATCGAACGGTGAATTCGTACTGCAACTGTATTTAAATGTGACATCAATTAGCTGTTACGCCCAAGCCAAACAATATATTTCAAGATGCTATCTTCCAAAGATGGAAAGAATTTATAAGAGGTGAGCCCTGAAAATACAATGCCTCATCTTGTCCTAAGGATTTAATTTGCCGACGTTTTAATTGAAAAGTTAACATATCCGAAACTATGCTAAAATAATTATGTATGACCAGACTCAAGAAGTTGTTAACTTCCCAAGTTACCACAAACACTATCAATCGAGTTTTTTTTACAGACACCTCAAGAAGTATCTTTATATTGTGTGACCAACCAAAAACTGAAAACAGTACTTGAAATCATCTCAGTAAAGTATGTTCTCACTATGAAAAATCAATCTGAGTTAGAGATGACGAGTAATATATATAAGATATCTGTAGACATTAAAATAAGTTGTAATAGGTTGATTAGTAACTGATTTTGTATTCAGTCTGAGAAACAATTTTGATTTCATTATAAACAAAACTTATGTACAAATTATGAATTATGTTAAAAATTATCACAGAATTTGTTTTTACATTTAAAAAGAATAAATATCTTCAATATATTGACAAGATTTAATACCATGCAATTGGTTCCCTTTATGAATTCAAATAGAGCAAGAACAAATATTGATGCAGAATAGTATAAATTCATACTATTCTGCATCAATGTTTGTTCTTGCTCTATTTAAAATTTAATACATCAATTAAAATATGTTTTATAAACAAAAAATAAATAAAATATTTATTCTGAAAACGACATATTACTGATTTACTAATATTCAAGAGAATATGATTATTAATATGATACATTTTAGACTATATTATCTTTGGTTTCTAATGATTATCTAAGAATATTATAAGAATTCTAAACGAAGGCATTTCATGTTGAATTGCAAATCAAACAAACAAATGGTAACATAAAATAAATCAATATCAGGACTTAATATGTCAATAGCAAATTATTGCTTTTTTTCCTTTTACTGTTATTTTGGTTAATATTATCAGTTAGTTAATATGTGGATAACATAAGTTTTAAAGATCATATGTGATATACGTTTAACAATTTCACTGGTCAGTGAAACTTACATCAATAGAATGTATTGTATAATTCCAAAATTATTCACCTACAGTACTTTCTGATATTTAATAAAAGAATTGAGTTAATATAAAGTGTAAATTGAAATAAAATAATTTGTTTAACATCATACTATCGAAATTTCTTTTTTATTAGCCCTCAAATGCCCTGATACGGCCGAGAGTGGTGAGAGTCCGCTCTCCCTCGAAAAATGTTCTCACATGGCCATGCGTATATAGCTTCTGTCAGAGAAGTCCTACTCACCGCCTGCTCGCACCACGGGTGTTGTTTACAAAATTGAGAGGACGAAAAGTGAGTGTCCGGCGCTTTAACCGGGTTGGTGGACGCGAAAAGTTCACCTAGGGGATTCGGAGACCCTGATTCCAAACCAATGGTACACATGGGCTTCAGTATCCTGATGGAACAAATGGCGTATGAACCAATTATTGGTCACCAGCTACCACGAGACTGAATCTCTTTACGTTACTCCACTGCCTTGTGGATCAGACCTTTAGATCAAAGGCTCCGGGTGTGGCCCCTTAAGAAAACCACCTGCTTCGGTTTGGGCACCCGGGCAGTATAACAGCCCTCAAGTAAATCAAATGAGATTTGTGTGGCGCATATGTATCTGGTGCCCTCTTGTGTTCAAATAAATAAATAATAAATCTTTTTTATTACATCTAATAAACGTAGTTATTCAACGCTTTCATTGAAAATTTAAAAGTGTTTTACTGGTTTTCTATTCTTTTTCTAATAACTATATCAACTAAACTGAAATAATAAAAGAAATATATCACACTTAATAGAAATGATAATTATTAGTCATTAGTTATTAATTTTTTTATTATTTACAAATAATCTTTACTCATAAAATGTTAGATGTTATTAAATGAGATCATCATTAACTAGGATATGAAAACCTTTCAATGATATGTCACAAAATGAGTTGAAATAAAATAAATATACTACTCAATATTTTATATTACGGAAAATCTCATTATTATTATTGCTTCATTAACTGTAACTTTTACAATTGAATAAAAGCGACTTTAATATTCGATGTTCAAAAAATGATAAGAAGAAGACCGCTTCCTTTTCTTAGAAGTGTTTATGCATGTTCTTTCTTGAATGATATAAGAAATTGATATATTCATCATAGATTATCTATACTCTATGATAGAAATAAAAATCAATTAACATTTTTTAGACGCTATTATTTCCGTTTATTCATTTCGCATTAATTTAATATGTTATCAATATGGGGGTTTGTGGAGACTGTAGTATTTTCACAGTTAAAATCACGAATTGATCTAACTTAAACCATTATCGATAACCTGAAAGCATTGGATCGTGTTTTTGGTCCTAGTATGAGACTCCTCAAAAGTGCGTGTTGAAGATCTCGCATGCGAACCGGCCATCCGATGCTTATAGATTTTCAATGGTGATCTAACTTAGGTCAAATCGTGATTTTTCAATGTCTCAAAATATTAAATTCAAATTACTTGGAATTGATCGTTCACAAAGTAATTATACTGTATCAGTATTTCGTTGCATAAACCTATTATGATTTAATAAGTGGCTTCACTGTCGCTTCATCTAGCAAAGCTTAAACTGGTGAATAACATTACCTACTCCGACATATAAAAGTGTTGGTAAGATCTAAATAAGTTAACCTTTACATTGTAAGCTACGTAAACTGATTGATTCTATGGAGATGATATGTTCTGCACGTAAGCTTATGTAGATAATGACAATCTAAACAAGCCACCTTGTTTAGTTTAAGTGTTTATCGACAGTTACCTGAAAGATAGATTTGTAACAATAACGAAGATAAGTCACACACAAACGGACAAAGATATATCATTGAATCAATAAAAATATTATTAGGGTTTTTATTTCCCAATATTCTTCCTAAAAATTGACATTCCGTTCCGCTAGCCTTCAGTGGTGATCGAACTCTGTAAATTATAAAATATGATATGTTTACTTATCCAGCTAATCAGATCATGATATAGTTCGGTCGATAGTTTATAACTAAAATCGAAAGAGAGAAGATTCTAAATGACCTAGTTATTTTGTTTATTATGATTAATTAAAATTATAGTACCAAGTCTAGCCCAATTATAATGAATGCAACGCACGGTTAACTAATGGAGTCTAGTCATAAACGAGAACCCGTTACACACTATAAAAGTAATGGAAACTCACCGAGCTTGTTCTTCTACTGGATTCTTTAAATAAGCCGCTGGACTACGATTGATACTAGCATTATGTAAATCTCCTTCAGCTTTTAATATTTTTCCTTCTTTCATATTAGAATAAGCTAAATCAATACTCTGAAAAAAATCCACCCGAATAAAATGTAAATACAGGCCACAAATTTCAATTGCTTTAGTTTAAAATTGCATTACATCAAATAAACAAGTAAATAAAAGTTTTCATAATATAATTTTAAAAATAATATCTTCATTTTGCTAGATTTGAGTTGTGGTCGCTAGTACTGGGACCCAGAAAGAAAATTTCGTTCTATTTGGGATGAAACTAAATATCATGATAGCGATCTCACAAGTAGGGTTAGATGCATTTTAATGTTTCTAGGCCTTATATTGGGCCTTATTTCGACAATATAGTTAAGGTCATAGATGACTACAACTATGATTCTGATTCTAATGTCTCACTGGGTACATGATACAGCCGACATGGAACTTATTGGGAAATGATTTTACTAAACACGATAATAAATCAACGATTCTCCTTATGATTTATATGTGGATTCAACATATTTCTGAATATTAAAAAACATAAATTTGCAAGTTCATTAATAACAACTGATGTCCAATAAATACTATACACGTTGCTTGAGCAGTGTATGCGGTTGCAAAGTACTTGATTGCGTTGTACACAATCAATGTTGGGTGACATGGCTTAAATCCATTCACTCTTTGCTTTTCCTTAGATCTTGGATTTCAAAACTATACCTTTTTGTTTCGCAAGTTATATTTTCCATGCCTAATGTTTTATTTATCACTGATACCTTTGCTACTTTTATTGTTCAAGTATTTTTGTATTGATAATTTTATAGGTTTGAGCTGATATTTCTTAACAACTTAAAACTCTAGTATAATAACATGATGATACAATACAATACAAAAATTACTCAGTCGGTTATGTAAGTGCACATTTATTTCATTTATGTTCATGGGCTCTATCAAACGTGTTACACAAACATAATAATTATGTACATCGATTGACCACTGAGTATCAATCACTGTCATAATGACCTAGTCCTTAGTGCTAATTAAATTACGTTGATTCAGTTGTAACGTGTTTACCAGTCTAAGTGACTTAGAACCATGTGAACTTTGCATGACTACTGGGTGACTGGGAACAATTGTAAGGAACCTCTACATCGAGGTTTTGTGCTAGCTGGTATGTGTTAGTAAAACACACCTGCATTCATAAAAGAAGTAATATTCCCTGTGCGAGTTGAATCCATGGGGAGCATCACTCTCAACGAAACTACAGATATCTTATACTGATGGAAATCAACAAGCACGAAGCCTAACTCTGCCTAGGCTTTTTGACGACCGTCTTCAATCAACTTAAGTAATTATCCTCATCAATTAATTAATAAGACATTATTGTATCAGACGTTTAAAGATAGCTCTTAAAAAGACATTTGTTTGTGAGGCATTTACTCACTGAAGGCAATGATGGACGGTAGCGCAATATCTTGGATTGGTTGAAGTTAGACATTAACACCGTTAGATGCTGGCTCAGTGGTCTACAGGTTAAGCGTTTGCGCGTGAGATCGAAAGTCCTGAATTTGAGTCTCGCGTGTGGGATCGTGGATGCGCACTGCTGAGTCCCATACTAGAACGAAACGACCGTCCATTGCTTACAGGTTGACAATGGTGGTCTGGCTTTAATCGGCTCACGAGTTCAACTATTAACTTACTACAATCTCCACAACCCCCTACATATGATTAAAGATAAAAGTATTTTTTATATACCTTAACAATTCCTTCAACTAATGGTTGAAATGTTTCAGGAACGTATCCAAGAGACGTAAATGAATATAGAACATATTGTAAATAACCAGCAGGACCGGAATGAGTATGTGTTGCACTAATTAAAACATTTTGATGTGTAAATAACCCATTATCGTATCGACTTTTCAAATTATCGATGACCTAAAATCGATTTTTTTTGTTTGAGAAAGAGACAAATGATTCATTGAAATGGTTAGAATCAATGTGAAAATAAACGGACAGATTAAAAAGTACAAAATGTAAAAACGATTTTCATCATGAATTAGTGTTAGGTGGGTCCCTTTGGAAAATTAGTGAATACTGAACGGTATTATTATCTTGATTTGAAAATTCAACACAGTGACCCTTCCTTTTACTGAATCGAACTAACAGCTAACATATTTTACTTAGAACATGTTTTTAACTTCAATTCACTTGCAGTACATCTGGATCCTTTATTCAGTTTTATCGGTGACTTCACTTGTGATTCTATAACTTTCTAGGTTACAGCTTAATCTGGAACTTTTATTCATGATTGAAATTACTAAACCAGAAACTCGAAATAAATAAGTGACGGATTGTGGAGCATAGCATTATTTTGAAAAATAAAGCTCTATAATTTGAGAATGATCTACTACAGATAACATTGTAGTTTTACACATAGTTCAAAAATTGAATACGTAAATGAGCGTTGATAATTAAATAAATGATAATGAACTGATTTGAATATTATTTTTTAATGACAACCTTCCGATAATGTTTTACGATTTCATTGCTATGTTGTATGTAGTGAATGTATTTCGAAAATTGCTTATATTGCAATGTTAGCACTTATAAAGTTTGAAGATTTAAAAAGGATCTATATTTCCGAGAAACCGGTATGGAGTATCTGTTCATTGAGGGAACATACGTCAAAATAATAAGTGATCCAGCCAACAAATCAATAAATAGTAAGGAAATATGTATTTATTCCAAATGAGAAAAGATCACATCTAAACCTAAAAAAGCACGGTAGAAATAGGTCGATTATATTGGAAATTCCTGGGAGGTCCCAAAACTAATGATATAGAACCTTAAAAATAACTGGACAGTAAACTAGACGAAAAAACTTTTAATTTTTTGTTGTAAAGCAACAAGTAAGATACCCTATGGTTTACAGCGCGGAAGGATTCTAGTTAAACAATCAGTGAAAACTAGAGAGATTTGGATGGCTGTCTCGTGCTGGTATGAAACTCTACAGTGGTGTGAACCCATAGTTCCAACAGGCATCCAACCTAGGACTTTCAAGCTGATGGGTGGCCTCTGCACCTTCACGAGGAGTAACAGGCGTAAGTAAGTATCTAGAAGCAGTTCGTGAAGTACAATATGAAATTCAACAATTCTCACAACCTCCTTAAGTTAAAAATGATCTAGATCATTTTCTACAATATTAAGATTATCATAATAATGCCGAAGAAGCATTTTTGCATAATTTTCCAATTATTAAAGCAAAAAGTACAAAATTAATCATTTGAAGAAAGCATACAGGATAGGATTAAGAATACTATGAAAATTAAATTTAAATGAATTTATCTTTCTCATCTTCATTTATCCAAAAAGTGATCCATTGACCGAGAAAATTAACTATATTTTCAATCTAAGTGATCAAACATTCGATAAATTCAAAAGAATAGAATAATGTGAATTCATTTGATTTTGTTAGACTGTCATTATAGTTACTTACAAATGGAAGTACCAATGTAATGAAGAACAATTTTACATTAACAAATTATCTTATCTAAATTTGGTATTTGCATAAAACAGATTGTAAATGGTTAACTTATACTTAACGAAATAAAAAACAGTCCAGATTACTCTATTCAAACCATGCTATTCTATAAAAATTAACAAAGGGAATCTAGTTTACTGGTCAACATTGTAAAAATATGCTTTTGACTTAAAATTATTATAATCCATTATTTGAGAGAAATTTTTGACTATAACCGTTTCAAACCAATATAAACAAATGTTTTTTTATAATATTTGGTACATGACTAGTTGTAGAAACTAAGAAATCTTTTTGAATCCTATATAAAACTCACTATCGAAATGTGCTTTCATTCCAGTGTTGATATTTATACTGAAATTTATCTTTAGCATCTTTTGCTTCGAATGCTAACGCGCTGTCTATAAAACTATTATGTCTACTACTTTGTCCTATAGGTTCTAAATATCAACAAAAGGTTCGAAAACAAACTTTTACAATTTCAGCCAAGTTTATCACAATGTATTGATTTCAAATATTTATTATTTTTATAAAATTTATCATATATATAGACATACTTTAATTTTAACGGCTTGTGATACCATACCAGCATCTATTATAACAATGACAATTGGTTGTGAACTAGAATTCTCTTGAATAATAAATGCACGACTAAATAATCTTAAATGAAGTCCATTATCATTTTGTTTCATATTACCATAGCCCATCTAAAAATAGAAGGTAAATAGAAGAGAAATATTAGTAATAATCACAATAATAATAATGATAATTATAATAATAAATGAAATAGTTTTCAGATATGATAGATGACCCAGTAGCATTTAAATCTACATTGTATTCTTGATTCTGTCGAAGTTATTATGTAAACGAACTATACAATAGATGAAATTATCTTCTAACTTCATACACCTATATTCTCAGAATTATCATTAAACTCATTAATGATTTTTTTAAATAAATAGTGTCTTCTATTAAAACAAAAACATATTTGATTATAAAAGATTATAAATATAATTCATATTTGATAAAAAGAAAAGAGAGAGAAGTAACAATCACAGAATATGCTTATAAAGTTAAGAGTAATTGATTGTGATCAGTAACAAGTTGATGATTGGATTGTGATAAACTTGTTTTTTTTTAAAAAAAAGATATAATGATCTAGAAACAAGTGAAAACAAAATGCTAGAAATTCCTCTTTAAACGAATATCCAAGGCTATGTTCTTTGTATTACTATCATTATATCATTAAAGAACAATATAATTCGTGATAATTAATTAAGCTTGTATTTTAAGTGAAAGGGAAAATTATTGAAACATTGCTTTTAATATAGTATATCACTCAATATCTATTTCTAATAGCATGGAATTCTCAATCTGCGAATTAGGAAGCACAAATGATTGTGATTTCCTAGTATGGGACTCTTCCGTAGTGTTCATCTACTACTTCGTTAGGGGATCAAAATTAGAAATTTTGGGTTCTGATTTCTATCCAGATCAATGAGTTAACCATAAACTTTGTTCTGTAACTCAATATTGTCATTAAAACAGTGAATTTTTAACGACTGAATGATATCAGTATTTTACTTCTGCCATGACTGTAATGTACATATTCTTCAATTTAAATAAATGATTCATATAAGTAGATGACTGTCCAGGGTCTCATACACTGCTTACATTTGAACATTCAGACGTTATCTGTGGATTTAGTCACTCTTTTTAAGCCTAGAAAATCTCCACAGATAATGGTTAAACTATAAACTGAATGGGTTAATGCTGCAAAACGCTAAACATCCGATTAATATTCAGTAAATTCACAGTACTGAGCTGCTTGTATCACTAAATCTGATCTAATGTAGAATCTAGAGAGATTAGAACTCATGAATCACAAACAATTTAGAGATATATGTTCAGTGTTTTCTTGTTTCTAACAACACTGAAGCCGATATCAATTTTAGGCTAAAAATTGTCCTTGAAATGATTGAATTTTCCTTGAACGGACTTATCGGGATTTCATCAATTTATCAAAATGATTTTAACCTTTCAACTTTTTTACTTTACTCACTTCACAAAGGCAGATACAGCTTATATTAGAAATAGAATATGATTTATAATAAACTCGGATGATAATAAAGTACCAATTAATCTATTCTTACCATATTGATATCGGTTATTGGGCCAGTTATGTCATATATTCCGGCTCCAATTAAATAACCATAGATATGTGGTGAAAATAAGAATGACCAGAATATAGAAACGAATGATAAGTAAATATTGAAAGATTCACAAATCACCATTTCAATAAATCGCTGAAAATTAAAGATACAAATTTAAGCGGAAATCGTCTAATATATATATTAGTAAATCCAGAGTACTCTAAGCTATCATGTATTCCTACATTTATTGGTTGGACACATTGACAAGAATAATTTGTGTGTATAAGACGCTCTGAATCAGTGATAACATATTTCACACAAATTATCTCAGAAATAATCATCTGAAAGCAAACAAATTCATTTTTCATCTGCTTAAAACATCATCATTAGTTTTTTTCACTATTTTGTTTGAAAGTTCAATTTCAAATCTTTTTTCTTGACGAAGTTGTTTTTCTAAATATATTTGTGCAAGTTACCGTACAGAAATTTTTTAAGCGAAGAAAAATAGGAATACCAAATAATAATTTATTTATTGTTATAAACTAAAGAAGCATTGTAAATCAGGAAATTCATCGACAATTAATGTCAATTTTTGAGAAAGACCTATTTTTTAAACTAGACGAAACCCTCTAACTCAAAGTAACACCAAAGTAATTAGTCTTATGTTCACCATCAACTAATTTCGAGAGTTTCACAAAATTCTAATGTAAAAGTGATCGGTTAGGTTGATCACTGTTGACAATGAAACAATAAAATGAATATAATTAAGGTATAAAACCCAACTTGAGTCGTATGAACCACTGGATCTCGTTTCAGTCCCATCCTTACTATAGAAAATGATGATCTGGTGTTTAAAGTCGTATGTGAGTTTGTGGATGTGCAGAGTTCACCAGTCTTGATTTATAATAAAATAGTCTTAGACTACTTGCTTATGTTCTGATAATCTTTCACAGAACTTCTACGATGAACAAATTAATTGAAGTAATTATTTTAAAATCTAAATTCACATCTCATTTCTAAGATTATTAATTAATTAGGCATTACAAAAATACTTTATATTACTAAACTATGCTTTGCATTCAGTAAATATTTAAATCTGAAATATTTTCCGTTGAGAAACAACATCATTAAACGGCTTTCTTCACAACATAGTCTGGAATTATAAAAAATAATTACTTTACAATGTCCTTCACAGAAAAAAAATACAATCGTTTATTTTGAAACGTCTAGTGAAACAAATTAACTTGTTATTATCGGTTAATAAACTCATTACTTACTCATATTAATAATAATAATAAATGTAGACTAGATATACATCTGAATTTCGTGTAAAAATAATATTCTCTTTCAAAAATAATGCATTAAAGTAACTATTATTAGTAGAGAAACAATATTTTGTACTTATTGTTCACCTAATCTTGCTGATAATAATTCAACATTGTCTTTGACTTTGCTACCAATAACTATGAAATACTTATAATCTTTGTCTGGCAACAACTGATAGTGCACAAAATCTTGCAAATACGAAAATACACATAAATTTAATTAACCACCTTGTTCAGGCCTTGATACATTTTGAACTATATAGGTAATAATAATACTTAATGAAAAGTATTAGACTCAAACAAAACAGTCATTCAGTTTCTATAGGTTTGGAATAGTGATAAAAAGTTAATTTCATATTGAAAGCATCAGTAATTTAGTTTGAAGCTCCCAAATCTAATGACGTAAACAACGTGAAAGCTACAGCATTTAAATTTTTTTAATAGCCCTATGATGTCCGCAGTTCGTGGTAGAAAATCTTAAAATGCATAACGTAGTGAAAAGTTAGAAAACACGATTGAGGCAACTCGTTTAGATATGAAAAACTACCTATGCCTTAAAAACGTTCCTATGGATCAAAAACCACACGATTATTTTCAAGTATCTAAAAACAGGATGAATAACGTAAGTACAAGAAGATGACAGCAATCAGCCAACCAATAACAGATGATTGTAAAAACATTTATACAAGACTATTAATATTGAAAAGCGTATGACGTTTCTAAACATTCAAACATTTCGCATTCTAAAAAGATGCAAATTCATGTAGCATTTACATCAAAATAATTTGTTAGATATCTTGTTATGCTCATTTTTATCACTATAACATCTTATCACGAAACAAACTAGAGATCTAATGAATGTTTTTAAAAAACTGGACTTAATTGCTTTGACTGAAGATGAAGCATTCAGAGAAAGTTCTGTCCCCTGTATATAATGACTTAAATTATATTGCTATCAAACTAAGTACATCAATTTACTGCACGAGGCTACCAACTAATAATCCATGAACCATTTTTTATTATATCAAAGTTAACAAAGTCCTGTTACATCCAAACTCTCTGTAGTATTGTTCAGAGGATATGATTCAATCTAATTTTCAAAATCAATACTAGAATATCACGCATTCCCTCTGATGCACTTTTTTTAGTCTGATGGGACAAAACTTTATTTTGACCAAAAATGTTTCTCATTTGTGCTAATTCTGACGGATAGAATACAAACAAATAATAAAATTTTATTTATAATGCTAATTTTTCCTCTACATGCCGCGTTTGTAAATTTGAAAGGATTTTTGGCCATACATCTAACTGTCGAGACACTGGAAAAAAGAGGAATACCATGCCGTATACCGTTTTTGTCCATAAAATAACACATGGATCGTAAGGAATTGTTTATTGAACACGCTACCTGGAGAAAAGTTAAAACTGCACTTTTAAAGCTAACACTGAGCCTGATTACAACAATTACAAATATGAAATAGCATAAGGGGAATTAAGCGTTTCCTAGATGATAAGAATGATTTAATAGATATCTTTTTGATGAGTCACTGTAAATCAAATGATTTTTCTCTGCTCGCCTCCCAGTGTCAAGGTACGCCATGGGGTCTTGGTAGCCTATGAAAAAAGTTACTTATACATCTGGCCGCACTAGTCTTAGCACACTTGACAGTTACATGTAGGTTACTAGATTTATGTAGAAATGAATGAATTTGTCCCAAAGCAATAAGATTGTCAGGACCACGAACCACCATGTTACCAAGATGTCAAGTGTTCGGTCGCAATATAGAGACTGTAAAGTAAGAATTCAGGTTAAAAGAGCCATATGAGTTCAAGATTGAAAATCAAGAAACAATTGTTTGAACAGAGATCTCTATTGATTCATGGGTAGATGGATTTACAGGAAATAAATCAACTGCAGCAGATACAAAATGTATATTTGGATAAGTATAAAAAACTCATATACACCAAGATACAAAATAAGTGAAAATAAAGAGTTGAAAGATGATCTCACATCGTGTCAAAAGGTATATGAATATATATATTTCGACAAGAAAATTCCAGCCGAATGATGATAATCCGCGGGTGAGTTAATGGCCATAGAGCTTTCTTCTCAACGCATGTGATGCAGACGTTTTATTATTGTTCCAAGTTAGTCACATAGAGACACTAAACTAAAAACATCGAGCAATATATATAACCTGACGTTTTGAGTTACTTTGAGTTATTTTGACACATGTCAAGACGCTACAGATATCAATAAAATGAACACATCTAACTTACATGAGGTGAAACCGAGATTACAGCAGTCAATGAGGCTTTATTAAAATCCAGAATAAATCATGATTTGTGTGCATACCAAGTAATCGAAAAACCGCGGGTTATTAATAGTTCAAGTAACAGACAGTAATGATGAAATTAAAAAAGTTAAAAATTCAATTTAACAATAAATCCATCTGTATGATCTTTCATAATTTTTGAGTATCTCAGTTTTTATCTTCATTATCCATTTGCGTACGTAAGGGGCACTTGAACTAATGTAACATATCTTCAGTATTTTACAAAATTCGAATCATATGTTCTATTTCACTCCCTCACCTCATAGATCGAAACAAGCTTTATTGAAAGCTCATTCAATTGCTACATGGCTTCATCTATTACCTCCTTGACTTTACTCAAAACAATATGAGAATTTATTGGGAAAACAGTCTTCCTTTTATAATGATATTTTTTGTGCTATTTTACCGACTATTACTTATTTACTTTAGTGTCATTACACACATCTCATTTTATCTATAGAAGAGGTGAGATTAGTAGTTGGAATAGGCTTTTGTTAAGATAGTGTAATAGGAGAGTCGAAGCGCAAGTTTCCCTTTTTCAAACACAAAGCAATCAACATTCAGTATAGTAATACAATACTTACTGAAGATAAGGAAGTAAATAAATACGTGAGTTTTGTTCTGACACTACTAAGATGGTTTGTATCAACTTTTTTTAGTAGTGAAATTACATACCTTTATTCATTCTACCATTCCCGATTTCCAAACGCTACACAGCCCAATGTTATTCAAGATAAATAAAGACTTACTTAATGCTAGTTGTTACACTGCTATCGCAATACTGAAACAATGAAGATAGGTCCTGAAGTTCAGTGCCATGATCATGTCATGCACAACATCATTTTATATTCATTTTCTAAGTTAAAATACCTGGGTTGCCTAAACAAAAACACTCTTGACAAACAAGGAAGATCGTCCAGCTATCGGATTAGAGTGAAAAGACTATGAGTTTACCGTCCTTCTTTATTATTATTATTAATGGCTTTATCCAGTATTATATTTTGGTACAATATAGAATTCTCAGCACAGAGTATTTCAACAAGTTACTTAAGCAAAAAAAGATAGTGACCGAGACAAAAAAGGAAAAAAAAGCCTTGAAAAAAACGAAAAACTCTACAACCTTTCAAATTAAAGACATGTTAAGAATGCAGCTCATTGACTAGCTTCACTCTAACAACCTGTTCGCCGCAAAGTATATTCGCTAGGTAAGGTATTATAGAACTTTTATACTTTTGCTTGCGTGCATGTATTTTAATGTAATTACGTCTCGTTTTACCAGAGGATATACAAGGAGAAAGATAAGAGTGAATGGGATGGTTAGTACCTGATAAGATAACACGTGACAGAAGTTTGCAAGACTTTAGATGTCTATCCACAATCATTTTAATAATGACCTCGAACGATTCGCCACCCATCTTACTACCTGCCTTCAGCACTCTCTGCAATACAGCGAAGTCTTTTCTCAAAAGCCCGGGAAAGGATAATGGAGAACAGTAAACAATAATAGGTAATGTGCAAGAATTGACAAATTGCAAGAGTAAATGACGAGTAATCCCAAGAGTATGCATTCTTTTTACGTAGAAAGTCAGACGGAAAACCTTCTTTGATAACAATAAAATGTGAGAAGACCAAGAGAGATCAGACGAAAAGGCAACACCAAGATAGTTGACCTTCGACACTGTGTTTATCAAAGTCTCCAATGGCACAAGCATTATGGGATCTCAAAACGGTGTTTAGATGCTGTTCATGTCTCATGCTAAAGTTAACAGCTTGACATTTAGACGGATTACGTATGAGACCATTACCAACAGACCAACAATCAATACGAGACAAAAACTCATTCATTTCTATGGGATGTAAACAGGAAGAGATAGGCATTCATACAGCGAGATCATCCGCATATTTCACAAAAGATTTTTCTATAGAAGATGGCAGATCATGCGGAAAAAAGAGGTGAAAAAACAGCTCCTTGTGGTACACCTTCATGAGACAGTAGAAACTCTGAACACTCTCCTCCAAATACAGTGTACTGCTCCCTTCCAGAGAGGTAGGAACATAGCCAGTTGGTTATCCAGCTGTCAGTGTCGACGCTGACTAGCTTGTTATTAGATGTTGTCTTGGTATAAAATCAAAAGCTGAACTATAGTCCAGAAAAGCGAATCGAACTTACTTCTTACCCTTTTCTAAGTTGAACACTATGTTGTGATGCAGAACAGCAACAGCACCTAAGGTGCTTCTTTTGCATCTGTAAGCAAACTGATATGGATCAATATGCTCTTTAATCTCAAACTGAAGTGGAAGTATCAATAATTTTTCCATGGTTTTGAGGAAGGGTGAAGTTATTGCAATAGGTCTAAATTTCACATTCTTATCACCAGATACTTTCTTTGGTACAGGGATTATCTTCATATTTCTCCACATTTTCAGTACGAGATTAGATGAGAAGGATCTGTTAAAGATAGTCGTGAATGAATAACATAGGACGTCAGCACATTTTGTAAAAAGGATGTTTGGGATACCATTAGGTCCCAAACATCGGGAGGAATTAAGCGACTGGAGACATTTTCGAGCATCAGTTTCAGTGAAACTAGGAACACAGCTGTTCTTTTAACCTGTGGGTAAAGGGAACATCACATCAGATGACTGACGTACAAAAGACTTATTTAAGTCACAAATATTTAGCTGGTTTTCGCTCCTAAACTGTCTGTCACCTGTAAGTTCTTTAAAGAGTTTACATATACTTGGAGAGATTTTGCAAGACAAGAGTTTTTGAGTAAATATAGTGTTGAGACGTTTAATCTGTAGGTTTATCAGACCATTTAGCTTACGAACTTCATTACAGTTTTTGTCCTTGTACATTCTTTCTTTCACCCTGCGTAGTCCTTTTACTTGTGAAGATGTTAGTCGATCAAAACTTACAAAAATGGTTTCAGTGGGACAACAAATATCAAAAAAGAATTTAAGTTAACAAGTGATAACATCAGTAGTGATTTGCAGTGAGTCATCTGTAAATAATTCCCAGTTAGTCGTTTGAAACATGTTCTTCAGATTTCGGATATTTTCTTCTGAGTAATTCCTATATTTGACTTTCTTGGTTTGATGTAAGAGTGTACTCTTCCCATGTTTTCCATATACTGTAGGTAGAACACGAATTATACAGTGATCCGAGCTAGACAATGGAGCACGTTTACGAGTCGTATGTATACCTATATCAATAATTAAAACGAAGTCTAAATGAGCATCCAAACGAGTAGGAAAATCTACTACGTTTTGAGTGACCTAGCGACGTAAGGAAGCTACAGTCACATGAATTGAAATCACCACACACAACTAAAAGTGAATGGCTGGAGGCAGAAACAGCGAAATCAGTGAATTCATCAGCGAAACCAGATAGAGCAGATAATGTTCAGTCTGGAGTCAAGTAGATATTAGTAACATGAACATCTTAAAGTTATACAGTCAATAAAGTCATTTGGAAACTTAAAACACACAAACGAAGATGGACACCAGGTTATGTTTACAAACGTAGCTACACCGCCCCCACACCTTTTTTTATTGTTTGATCGATCCTGAGGATAAATTTTGAAATCACGTAGTGATTCTAGGTAGTCATCCTGTAAATTATTTAACCAAGATTCTTGAATTGCGATGACATCACAATTACGATACATATTTTGACATAGTAAGAGTCGCAGATAGTCCACTTTGTTGATTAGTGATTGGCAGTTAGAATTTAGAAGCTCTAGAATCGACATATGATTAATTTTCATTCTCTTTAATGCATATTGCCAACGACCACGATGTCTTTTATAGTACATTTTATAACTTGTGCAGCGAAAGGTCGCAGGCTTTTCATAAAAGCGCCCGCACAGGCTATGCGATTAATGAAAAAACAGATAACTTGTTGAAGTAATGAGATAGCAGAAACAGGTAGCCCAGATATTCAAGCAGGCCACCGTTACCTTCGTCGAATATTAAATACCCAAAACAGTGCAGATATTTTTAAATAAAATATAAAGCTGGGCATACCTCAAATATCTAGCCAAACTAATGCACAGCGTTGTGAATAATGCGAATGCCATATGTCGGAAACATTTCAATATCCCTCAATTTAAGTTACAGCAGACAAATAAAACTGATAAGAATCAAATAGGGCGAAAAAACGTCCTACATTACACTGACGTATCTCAAGTTAAACGTTTACCTATAACGAACAGATAAATTTAGGAAAAGATATTCAAAATTCAGATACATATCATTGACCCAAGATTATATGAACATCACATAAAAGCATAACTTCAAAAAGCAGTATCAATTACTATCAAAACAGAAATATATATAGCAATTTTTAAAAACGTCATCGTAGGCGATAGTAAAACAGACAATGTCATGAGATCCTACAATTTGGTTGAAGGTCACTTGAGTCTCATGTGTAGTGTTTTCGGGTACAATGTGTGTATTATCCATTGACATTTCCGCTCAAGACGTTTCATGAAACTACAAGTCAAGTTTTGATTTTATCTTATGAAGATTAATAATTAGGTCTAACTATCCTTGAAACGGAAGGAGCCCATGCACATCAAACTCTTCCACTTTCTAGAGACTGATTTATCAGTTACTAGCAATGGCGAGATGTTGGTCGTTATTAAGCTCCAATATTATTCAGTACATAAGACAGGGATGACAGTGACATCAATGGTCCATTGACTGAGATGTATGGAACATTTTCCAGTGGCTACGAAGTTTTACTCTTATGATCTATTTTTTATCAGTATGAAATAAAGGAGAATGAATTGTGTGCACAACCAAACGGTACAGAGAACAGAAACATATACTCACAAGATAAATGTTTGAATGTTCTCGAAACATTCTACTTTCAATTTGACTGACATGCGATAAGATTGTGACAATCACTATTTCGACGAGAGTTCGGAAATCAATAAACAATGAACAAATCAAGAGGGACTGTGATAAGTGGGATTAGTTGCATTAACCATAATACACGGATGTCGAATATGTTCAAAATCTGAGCCGAAAGCTTCATAGAT